ATGGCACAGAAAGGTTATTAACACATTACTTCGCTGTGGTAATCTGAGAATCGTAGAGGTTATAGACAGCCTGCCGAATAATGCATTAAGTTGTGATGTCTGGATCATAACGTGGGATAGAGGTTGCTGCGTCCCGTGTCTTGCTGTGTGTTCGGGCAGCTGTTGTCCCTCTTTACCGTGTGGCTTTCATGCTGGGTTGCCTGACTGGAAAGGCAGGCCGTTGGCCAGACACTGGATGGCTTAGGTTGAGGATGCAGCCAGCTTCTTGTTTCTATGGCAACTCTGGACGCTGTCAATGTGCAGCAATATGTTGTTTAGAGTTAATTATAGCTTGTTGTTGTCACACCAAAGTCACACCGAGGAAACCAAGTACTTTATCATTTGCATATTTGAAGGCAGTTAAAAATTATAGTTAATTATTATAGTTGACTGGAAGTTGTCACTTTTTTTACTTTTTAAATATCTCTCCCAGTGAATTTAAACAAAATTTTTATTTTTTTTTGCTGCAAATGTGTAGATGGATTTAAACTTAAATTAAATTGACAATGAAAGTGCCATTTTATATTTTATCATATTATATTTATTTATATATTTATATTATATTTATATTTCATCATATTATATTTATATTATACAGTGCCAGTCAGAAGTTTGATATATTTATTCATTTATTTACTACCAGTCAAAAGTTTGACACATATATTTACAAATTATTTATTTACTTATACACTGCCAGTCAAAAGTTTGAATATTTTATTTATTTATTTATTTTTCATATTTTAAAATAATAATAAAAAAAACCACTAATGAAGTATGGCATTATAGTGACCAAAAATGATAACTTATATTTAAGAATCTTCAAATTTACCACCCTTTGTTTAGATTCCAGCTGGGATGCTTTTTAAATGAAATAAAAGTTTTTCTTTTAATCCTGGACATTTGACCGCTGCTTTTCTTCCGCTGTCTGCTAATTTATTATAAAAATGCATTTATTTTTATGTGTAGCATAATTTATATTTATCTGCTAAACTAATTTAAATAATTTAAGCATGAGCCTTTAGATCAAATATGTTTAAGATCATGGGAAATAAATTAATTCAGGTGTGTCCAAATGTTTGACTGGAAGTGTATGTCTATTCAAAACAGTGCACTAAAATTGAATGAAAAGAGTTTGAATCCATGATAAAATGTTTTAATGATCAAGACTCTCTCTGTACAGTAAGAGCTCACTGATTTGTTACCATTGAAATAGTTGATTTATAGCCCTAGTCATCCTGGTTGTCCTTTTATTTTATTGTAAATCCAAATGGATTGGATTATAGGCTGGATTAAATGTTATAAAAGTTATAATGTTATATTATTAAATTAAAATTATTAAAATGTTATAATATTAAATGTTATAAAAATGAATAAAGTCCCTTTATGCCAGCTGTGAAGTTGACAGCTGAGTTGGGATCAGCTCGTTGGATCAGTTTCTCACTGATCTAGCCCCGAAGAGCTGAAGAGCAGCAGCCAATGCTTGGATTCCTGAAATTTACAGCGAATCCCTAAGCAATAGGAGGCTGCTCTTTCCAGGAATTAGAATCACTGGATTTGTAGACCTTTATGTCACACATAATGTGCAAAGATACTTCCCAGACTTTTTCTTTGCAAAAATTGCCATTCATATTTCTAATTCAGTTCAAAAGGAAACAACCGTAAAAACTGCAGCATATAAGAACTGCATACAGTCGTTTTCTTGTGATTTATCATGTTCTGTAATATGCAAGAGGTAGGGTTCAGTTGTAAAGTTTATTTGCTTCTGGACCAGTTGACCCACTAACTCAGATTTTTACCCATAAAAATGAATTAATCTGATACATTTTATTTAGTTATTTTATATATTTTATTATTTTTATGTGACAGAAAAATATTTTCTATAAAATAGTATTTATTTATTTATAAATAACTTATATTGCATTGATATCAGGAAATTGCAGCTTATGTTATATGACTCCATAAAACAGATTCATAATCTCACTTTTACTGGAAAACAATGGCATGTTTTAAATATTTTATACTATTTTATCTGATGTTTTCAAGACTGTCACTTTTAAAATGTTGATAAAACTTCATCAGCTTGATAACATCACCTTGGCATTTAAATGATCAGATTTAACAGCAACATTTTTGAAGTCCAAATGTGTATGTTTGAAAGGCATAAAAACACGTACACTTGATCAACAGATGTAAGCCATGCACAAGTAGAGAAACTCTGAGCCATATGTTTTAATCTATGAACTCAGCTGGCTGTGGGGACCTTCACACCAGTGTTTTTCACCGTGTCGGTACAGAATTTACTCATTGTAACCTCTTGCACTTCTGAAATTAAAGCAGTGTTGCTGCACAAAATAACAGAAATATACACAATAAAGATAAACTTCACTGGTCGTTAGACATTCATTACTTTTTCACATTGTTGGCTCTTGACTTTGATATGATCTCGGATCCATACTTTATCCTGAAAAAAAGAATTTACATGAAAATTTGTTGCCATTCCATCTTCTGCCGAAGCTTAACAATAAGGATTTTTTTTTTTAGCAGGCCAAAATTTCATTGTAGCTTGGTCCTGGCAACATTTTCGCTGGCCACAAAGAAAATATGATGAATGGCTAGAATTAAATATGTTAGAAATATATGTGATTTCTGTTTTTTTTAATATTTTATTCATATGTGACCATGGACCACAAAACCAGTCTTAAGTGTAAATTTTTATAGGATCATGTGACACTGAAGACTGGAGTAATGGCTGCTAAAAATTCAGCTTTGCCATCAATTAATTACATTTAAAAATATATTTACATGGAATATTTTTGATAAAATAAATGCAGCTTTGTTGAGCATAAGAAACTTTTTTTACAAAAACATAAAAAAATTATTCCAAACTTTTGACTCATGGTGTAAATAGAATGTTTTATTATTGTATTATTATTGACATTTATTTATTTATACTTCAACACATCAAATATATAATAGCATTGTAAATAGTGAAGAAACATGTTTGAGAAAGGATAGAGTAGTTGCCAATATTGTTGATTGGTAATTAATGTGCATTTTGTCCCAGCCTTAGAGTTGTTTTGTCTCTGCTTACGTGTTTGTGAAAGGGACATCGTTTAAGTGCCCTCCAAAGGAATATAGTTTTTCCTCCCTCTCGATAGCAGCATGTTCTCAATTAGAGTATGCTTAATCAGGATACCGACTCGAGTACTAATTACCTTATCATAGCATGCATGTTAATTAGTTTTGCGAGAAGGTTCCTTTTTTTTCCCAATTGAATGTTCAAATGAATTCAAAGGCAAAAAACGATGGATCTTTTCTTTGATCTTCTGTTTACATCTGTATGTGTGTTTATGTCAAAATTTGGCCTATTTGCTGGTTTGAACTTCGATGCAATTCGGGTGGTCTTAATTGACGTGTTGCTGCTTGTTTATTTGATATATGTAAGGCTTTATCGGATAGATCATTATGAAAGCGCGGCAATTATCTTAAACGTTCAACGCTCAGTGCTCAACTAGCAATCCTGCCTCATTCACATGAAAGTGAATACGTACAGCCTTTTTTTGCTTGCTGCTATGAGAAACCAACTGAAAGTGAATCGGTTTGAGTCATTGTCACCTTACTTCAAGAAGCTGTTTGAAAAATGCTCCTCGCAGCTCTTGGAACCAGCCCAGTCTGAGCTTGACGTGCTCTCAAGGCTGGAAAACATGCTGAGTTTTTGTGCTTCTGACACGCTGTTGTGTCCAGGAGTTGCCATACAGGTGGTTTCGCTCATTGTGCGCCAGTTTACCCAAGCAAATTTAAATGTTTACTGAAATGCCATGACAACATTATTTAAAGTCCAGAAAGTTCCTGTCAAAAATCAAAATGCTGTCTTTACACGTACTTAGTCAAACAGGTGGTGATATCCAAGCTCTAAAGAAGAAAAAAAAAATCTAACTCTGTAACAATAAAGCACCATTTGTTGGCTCTTTGTTTTTTTTCTAGCGCAGAGCAAAGCCCTATGAGTGTTGAGAAAGAGGCCTGATAAATGTTCTTGGGGATTACTGGATATTTCTCTAAAAGCATTTTGATGTTATGAATGAGCATAATGTACGATCTTCTGAAGCGCGGATTGATCAGTTGGCATTGCCGAGTGAACTTCAAAGTTTGAAAATGAGAGAATCAATATTTTCATTTAATATTATAGAGCAGCAAGATGGGAATTTTGAGTGCATTTCTGTGTACTTGATATACAATTGTTGACAGTGATTGAATGGATACTTTCAGGAGTGTTTATCGCTTGCAGTTTGCTGGTATAATACAATTTTTGTTTTGTTTTCTATGATTTAGTGTAATGGTTACAGTAAATTAAACTTCCTTGATTGATAGTAAAGTCACAAAAAACAATTCATATCCTTAAGACCTGCCATATTGACTGCATACTGTATTTGTGGTTTCAGGCACCTCACCAAGACTAAAGGGATTTATACGTACAGCCTACATCACCTGTCACTTTACCTCCTGAAACAGTAAGGAACTTCGGTAACACATTATTTTAAAAGGGACACTGGATGCCCATTTTGTTGGTATGATTCTTTAGGGTCTTCATGAAATGTCTGTAACACTTCAGTTAAAATTCCTCAATGGTCGCGTAAGAGGCCGTTCACATGTTGCGCCTAAAATCGCGTGGAAAACGCTAGTCGCACCACTTTCTCCTTCTTTCCAAAACACTTGGGAGCTTGTGAGCCTGTGCACCTGTGGCATCTGCCGTTGCTAAGCAATCGTGACCTGCACTCTCCATGATGACGCGGAAGTTTCAGCAAAGGATAAATGGATTTATAATACAATTTTTGTTTTGTTTTCTATGATTTAGTGTAATGGTTACAGTAAATTAAACTTCCTTGATTGATAGTAAAGTCACAAAAAACAATTCATATCCTTAAGACCTGCCATATTGACTGCATACTGTATTTGTGGTTTCAGGCACCTCACCAAGACTAAAGGGATTTATACGTACAGCCTACATCACCTGTCACTTTACCTCCTGAAACAGTAAGGAACTTCGGTAACACATTATTTTAAAAGGGACACTGGATGCCCATTTTGTTGGTATGATTCTTTAGGGTCTTCATGAAATGTCTGTAACACTTCAGTTAAAATTCCTCAATGGTCGCGTAAGAGGCCGTTCACATGTTGCGCCTAAAATCGCGTGGAAAACGCTAGTCGCACCACTTTCTCCTTCTTTCCAAAACACTTGGGAGCTTGTGAGCCTGTGCACCTGTGGCATCTGCCGTTGCTAAGCAATCGTGACCTGCACTCTCCATGATGACGCGGAAGTTTCAGCAAAGGATAAATGGATTTCCAGCACTGAAAATCGCTTGCAGTAGCTCTGCTACTAAATTTAGTCCTATTTAAAAATGGCTATCCATGTACAGCTATGATCAGCTGTTCCTTCATCTTGTCTGAGATTTCAATGTTGTTACGGAAAGGTGATTGGTTGGTTCTTGTCACATGACCTGCGGTGTGCTTGCGCCACTCTGAAAAGTTGAGATGTTTTTATCTCGCTGCGGCGAATGGAAAAAATTAGCATGTTGCACCTTATGCGCGTCACGACCGCATCGCTCTCTATTTGCGCGCACTTGCCGTGCATCTACATTTGAAATAACAAACTTGAGCGCACAATAGATGCAATATGTGAACGCCCCCTAAAACAACACCCTTTTTTCCTTGTGAAAAAGAATTGTACACAGCGAGCCATTTCGGAGCATGTCTCTTTTAATGATAATGAGCTACTGCTCACCCCACCCCTCTCTTCCGTTTACTGTGTATTCGGTAGCGCGTTACCATCAAAAACAAAACCACTGTAGGGGTGTGCGATATGACGATTTTTGATCGTGGACGATTAAAATATCTGTGATCTGCTTTTAAAGAAATATCAGAGTATCATGCTACAGTGTACATCAGATTCTGTTCTGGCGCCTCCGTCTCAATATACTGTACAACGCGACATACATTCACATCAAATGTTAGCTCAGTGGTAGAGTTATATTCACAGGACACTGCACTTATTTGCAATCACAAAAGTACATTATTTGCATATCTTTCGCGTATGATTGCGCTAATTCTGTCAAAATACAGGTTGTCCCAAACCTGTATTAATTTCTTTCTTGTGCTGAACACAAAAGAAAATATTTTGAAGAATGTGGATAACCAAACAGTTGCTGGTCCCCATTGACTTTGATAGTGGGAAAAATACTATGGAAGTCACTGGGGACCAGCAACTGTTTGGTTACCCACATTCTTCAAAATAACATTTATGTTCAACAGAAGAAAGAAACTTCACGTTTAAAACAACTTGAGAGTGAGTAAATGATGACAGAATTTTCATTTTTGGGTGAACTGTCTCTTTAATGTTAATAAAACAACAAAACACAAAGAGAAAAATCACTCACTGCTCTTGACTGAAGAAATTTGATACAGTTGCTTTAATAAGAATCAATGTATAACTGAAGAATATTGTGTATATAGTGTTTTATATTTATATTTATATTTGTTAATTCAGTTTCTTGAATGTTGCTAAATACACCTACTGCACCTGAAAAATAAAGCACTGTTTGTATTATTTGTATATTATGTGTATTTGTAATGTGTATCTTTGTTCTTATTTTTTAATAACAAAGATAAAATAATTACAAAGATTTTTATCTTCACCCACTTTGGCCTAAATATCTGCCATTTAAAAAAATATATATTTTACCTTGTAAGGCTTTGTTTTTAAAATAGGAAAATTAGTTTGGCTGTACTGCTCAGACAACTTGCAAAATAGTAAAACCAAGATGACAAATAATTGTGATAAAATCATTAATCGTGCCATATCGCCCACTGCATCCTCAGTGGCTCTGATTTCGGGTTTCACACCGCAAGCTTGAGCTGCGCATCAGATTCACTTCATCGTCACTGCTGCTGCAGACTCGTGAGAGTATTCACACTAGAGGCGTTTGCACAGCGTCACAGCAGCGGCTCCAAAACTACATATTTCTTTACAAAGACAACTTCTTTGTTTTTAGAAGTTGGTCAGTTATAAACTTTATTAAAGTCTTGAAAGTTTGCGTGAGCAGGGCAGCAAATATAGACTCAGTGCCGAAACCATCGCTTCAGTGCTGCTCGAGCGTGGACAGTGTACAACTGGCTGAGGGCAGAAATATGCTAATACGGGACAGTCCATCAGTAGTCGTGGGCGAGGCATGAGCAGTATGACATCATACTGCTCAGAAAATCAAAATGGCTTGATAATTGAGACTGTTTAGGTTTTTTGAGGATTAAAAAAAGGAGTGAATGGATTTTTATCATTGTAGGGTGGTTGTGTCCACACACTGCTAAGACACATTTATATGCAAACACCATGTAAAAGTGAATTTTGCATCCGATGTCCCCTTTAAAGACCAGTTCTCACCATTAACTAGTTGCTTATTAACATGCATATTACTAGCATATTGGCTGTTTATTAGTACTTATAAAGCACATATTAATGCCTTGCAACTACCTTAAACTACTTTACTTCCTATTAATAAGCAGCAAATTAGTTTGTTCAGGGAAAACGCTAGGTTACTGACGTCACATAACCCCGGTTCTCTGATAACTTGAGTTAGGTATCTCACTATGGGAATGCCTCAGGCGTGACAGATCATGGAAGCACCAATTACACCATGTCTGTCAGTTGACAGACCAATCACGATAGTGATGTGGGAGTCCTGCCTCCCTGATATATACCTCTGCTGGTGGTCCCCACTTCATTCTCAGCATATCTCTTCCCTGTGCAACTGCAAGGAGAGAAGTGTGATGAGGTCTTTGCGCAGCGGGAGAGGCCAGGGCTGGTCGCAAAGGAGTTGAATTATCTCTGCCAGCCACAACTTTCCTGGCCAGTTCGGGGCGATCAGTATTACTGAGTGACCATACTCTCTTACCCTTCCTAGAGTTAGCCTGATCAGACTTAGTGGAGGAAACGCGTACAGCAGTGCGTTTGGCCATGGGTGTGCTAGAGCATCCACACTCATAGGTGCACCTTCTCTCGCCAGAGAGAAGAATAGGGGGCAATGAGTGTTTTCGTGAGGCGAAGAGAGATCTACGGCAGCTCGGCCGAACCTCTCCCACAACTGGCTCACTACCTGAGGGTGGAGAGTCCATTCTCCGTACAGAGGATTTCTTCTGGATAGGAGATCTGCCCTCGCATTCATTATTCCCGGGACATGCATTGCCCGAAATGACTGGAAATGCTTCATTCCCCACACAAACAGCCAAACTGTGAAGCTGAGGGGAGCGTGTACCCCCTGGCGATTTATGTACACCACCGCCATTGTGTTGTCTGATCTGATCAAAACGTGATGGTTCCTTAGGAACTGCAAAAAAAAAATGTTTCAATGCCAAGAAAACTGTTAATAGTTCTAGGAAGTTTATGCATGCGCTCTGAAACAAGATGATCTGCCTTTCACTATCCTGCCCTCGCACACTGCACGCCAACCTGTGAGTGACGCATCTGTCGTCACCACCTTTCTCAAAGAAACTGGCCCCAGCAGAGTCTCTGACTTGAGAAAAGAGCGATCTGAATACAAGCGCTGTGCCGCAACCCAGTTCTGAAACTCTCTCATTTGCAACAATCCTAGAGGAATGACAGCAACTGCAGAGGCCATCAGCCCTAGAAGACATAAGCACAGTCTGAATGGGACTCGGTTTCTTTTCTGAAAAAGGGACAGGCAACCGCGACTAGACATGATGCTCTCTTCTGTCAGAAATGCTTGAAACAGGACTGAGTTCAGTCTGAGACCCAAGTAGATTATCTCCTGTGTGGGCACCAAGCAACTTTTTGTCTTGTTTATTTTGAACCCCAAGTTCTCTAAATGAGACAAAATTTTTTGTATCCATCTCTGCCTGCTGCTGTGACGGAGCACAATCATCCAAATAAGCTGACACTCTCAGACCCGCTATTCTTAGCGGAGTCAGAGCTGCTTCGACACATTTGCCGAACACCCTTGGGGCTAATAAGAGCCCGAAAGGAACTGTCAAAAACTCATAGGCTTTACCCTGATAGGCAAGCCCTCGACTGACATAAACCAATCTTTGGGATGAATAAAATTAAAGACTTTTGAGTGAGAGCATTTTGAATTTGTATTTTCTGAGGTGTTTGAAAAGAGGAGGTTTTACAGCAAATTGCAGCGATAACCCTGGCTTATAGTGAAAAAAACCCAGGGATGTACTGCACATGGGCACCAACTCGCTGCATGAGGGGACAGCTGCAGCTCTCACTCACTAGTGACCCGGCAGCGCCATCTAGCAGCGGAGCTGGGGACTGCAGCTCTCATCTGGACAATGTTTTTTGTGTGCTTTTATTTTTAAACATTTCTGTGCCCTCGCTCACTCCCTGAATGCACAGAGAGTGAGTTTATTATTTTCACACCACACATGTCCATCTGAAAACTTTTCACGTTTGTCCAATCAAAATGCTCGGTCAGAGCGTTTTAATTGACTTTCCTACCTCCCTGTCAACGTATTTAATTAGCATAACTCTGCGCACCCGGTTCGCGCAGACAGGATACTTCATCAGCGCATTCACGCACGCTGTGCAGACAGAGCGAGAATGGCAGACAAACATCAACAACCCGATCTTCCTTCCTGCTATTGTAGTACTTTTTACTAACTGTACTATAAAGTTTTCTCACCGGTGAACAACACATGATGTAGCCAAGCGGTTCCCAATTCCAGTCTTCACACCCCTGCTCTACATATTTTGCATGTCTCGCTTAGTTAACAATTAGTTAACCGATTCAGATAACCAGCTCGTTAGAAGAGAGCTACGTGCATTAACTGTGTTCTGATTGACATGCTCCCTACACAGTGTTCTTTGCTCCCTGAGCAGGGGAAATCCGTTGAAGTTTACTTCACTTCGGAACATTCATTCATGGATTTGCGCTGCGCAGCGTCTTCAAGTTCACACACCAACGAAACTTACTAGAGAAGTGTGACATAATATACCTCTGTAAATAAATACTATTTACATT